CATCTTGGTGACCTCAGTAAGAGGCTGTTTCTCACAGAATTTAGAACATTCAGCTTCCTTGGCTGACGTATTTGAGAAAGTACGAAGGTAAGCAAGGAAATTAGTTGCTTGGCTGGAGAGGAAACTGACTGTGATAGCCTGAGGTACTTCACCCATTCTGAAATGGTGGAGAATATTTGTAGCTCATATGGGTGGCCTTTATTGTATTGTGTGCTCTGGACTGCATTGTTTAGCTATGGAGAGGCTTCCATCGTCTTTCCAGACAGCATCATCAGCACTAGCCTCGCTATGAAGTGGGCCATCAATACATCTCCGTGAGTGATTTTGCAGCCTGCCCTGGCCAACTGGTCTATGGTTGGTTGTTTCCTTTGATTGTCGCGTCATTGGCTGCATAGGTTTTCCTGTTGGTCAGTTCCTCTGGTTGTCCTCTGACCTTCCTGTCGCCTAACATTTCTCTTATAGGTTGACAGAGTCTGTGTCCACACATTTATTGATTGCTTATTGACCTGACTGCCAAGCTTATAGGAATCCTCTGTCCAAGGTTTCTACGTTATCAGAACTGAATTCATGTCCATGTTGTTCTCCAAATATATTGGATGAGTGATAAACGTCACGACATTTCACCACTCCCCCACGACTGGAAAGATGCTATTGTCACATGTATCTACGACACTGATACTAGAAAGCACTCATCAAACTGCAGACCAATAAGTTTAGCTAGTACCAAAGTAAAAGTCCCGGGAAGAGTGGCCAAGAGAGCCACTAGAGTTCTCTTATTATCCCGCTCGCAGAATGGCCTTAAAGGTTTCTCTTGCTTGAAGAACTCTCTCGGAGTCGGAGAAATTTAGGCCAAGCCTAATGACGATAGAATACATGCAACCGTCATTGTCGTAGACGCAAGTTAGGCATTAGATAAGCCAACTCCTTCCAGGTTGCTCAGGAAGCTGGAAAGTTTGGAATCACTAGCGATCTAATTGCATGGATCTCAGAAATTCCCGCAAGTCGGAGACAGTGAGTAAAGAACTATTCTTCATCCTTCTCTTTGAAGTCATTAGAGAGTGGGGTGCAGTTGGGTACAATCTCGGATCTCCAGTTATTTCTCTCACACATAAACAAGCTGTCGAATACCAAGAAAGTCCCAATGGTCTTCTCTGCCGATGATATGAAATTATGTTGGTAAATTAAGAGTGAAAAGGATTTATATGCACAGACCTAGACAGGTTGTTTAGGGGGCCAGAGAGGTGGCTACCGCCTATCAACGCGGGCAAATGTGTGAGCATGCACACGAGGCACACAGATGGCATCATCCAAGACATTGGTGGGGTCCGTCTATCCTCATTAATGGCATAGAATGAACCGAGATTTACAGTGAGTTATGATCTGAAATCTACAGCACACTGGTGTCTGCGCAGCTTGGAGTTTGAAGACGCGGGGCACTGCCCAAAACGCTTACAAGAACAGATGGTGGTGATATGCTCACCATTTCATGCACATCCTAGGTAGGTCTAAGGCAGAAAAATGTGTACAGGTTGTAAATTCTCACCTGAAAGTTGAATCGGACCTAGTTGAGAAAGTTCAGAGGACAGCCACTCCTACGATGTCTGCGATGCCTGGCCAGATCTATGAAGATCAACTTAAGATCTCATCTTTATCCAGACACAGATAGAATGGAGATCTAACCACGCTGTATGGGATCCAGAGAAATGACTCTGGACCTGATCCATCTTTTCTTTTTCTTTCCAATAGGGACACCTAAGGGGACATAGCACGAGAATACCAAAGAGAAGGCCGAACATAGTCTCTGCATAGTACTGGTTCTCGCATCGAACAATCAACTCCAGAAACCAACCTCCAGAAGAAGTGATATCCATTTCATTAATCATCACAGCTCTGCTGGAAAAGGATTATTATAGGCTCAAAGTCTTCTATCCTAAAACAACAAAACTGCCACTTGAGTAGTGACGTGTTTCGCTCGTCTCTCAGCTTTTGGATTTTTCCACAATGAAAAACTCCCACTTGCAATACTCAATCTAAAAACATCGAACGTTTGCAGCACTTCTGTCCGTCCACGCACCTCACCCCTGCGCATTCGTCAGCTCACTCCTCAACAGTTGAAAATTGGCATTATTATTCCTTTGAACCAACCGGTCTACCTCCTGTCAGTGGTTCTTGGGCGTTTCAGCTGCCAAACTGCCTTAGCTCTCGGTTCTCCTCGGAGGTCATTCCCCAGGAAATATCTTTCCTGGTTATACATACGCATCTGGAGCTTACGGTTAAACTCGTTGGTCAAGAGCAGAGGATCAAGTGACAAGTGTCTGAAGGTGAGCCAACATAAATTATCTTCCCTTTTCTATTCTGTCCTTTTCCTGCATTCAGTCTTCAACCCTCTTATTGTTGTTAACTACTTGTTTTCCCAAGAAGTTTATATCATAGCGACATGTCTGCCCAAAACGCTAGGTCTGAAGCTTTGACACGGATAACGCGGTCGTGCACAACAACGGCCAGTAACACCCTAAACAACACACTAGTCTGTACTAGAAGACAAACAGAGGTAGGGCAGAACACCGAACTTCTGAAGAAGTGGCCAACCCATGTTTCTAGAATTCCAGTCGCCATCAGACAGGTGACACAGAGAAGCACTAGCCCGTCACAAACTAGTCCTATCTTGAGCAAGGATCATACCATGCCTGAAATAGAAGACGACGTAAAAGGCTTCAGAACAAGGCAGCCACAAGCAGTTCGCCACAATCCGTAGCACCTTATTCATGGAAGGAAGGCTGTATTACGACACCCGATGGCTGCAGTGTTTGCACCAAAGTTGTTTCGGTAGTCGATGAGGCATTTGCATGCAACCTGTGTCAACGATGGGCGCATTGCCACTGCGATACCAAAGTCCCCCGACAATACTATAAGCTGATGAAGAGACAACCATGCAAGTGGTTCTGGTACATCTGTCCAGAGTGCAGGAAAATGCCCGCACTCCGCACAGAAAGCCTGAAGGAGATGCTCTCCGCCACGCAAAAGCTACCAGCATCCTCGAATAAGTAGGGTTAACACCAAAGGATAACACAGAGAGACCTGGAAACAGACCTAGAGCTCCAGCTGTGGGCACGCCATCTCGCGTGGGGACCATATTAGGTCAAGTCTCCATACCCCCTACCCGGCCCCAGGGGACGTCAAGCGCATGGCCAAAGACATCGACCGCCGAAGCCTCTACGAAACCCATTCCGAACACCCCACACACCGTGACTGAGAAACAACCAGTGGAATTACTCAAACCCATTGGGAAGTCGGGCGTGCCACCCACAACGAACCCAGGTCACAGGAGGACCAACTCGATCATTTTGTTCAACGTCGATGTATCGACAGACTCATTGTTGGTCGAGAGGGAACAATTTGACAGCCGAATGTGGACCGACTACTGTCAGATGCTGGGACTCCCTCCCCTCCCTGCAACTTTTGTCGCCTTTCTCGAGGAAGCCATGCACCCCGAGATAAGCCACCCCCTTTACGTGTGTCCCTAAATACCGCCAAAGAGGCTGAAGACACACTCCTCCTCTCGCGACAACCGGACGTTGTTAATGCCTGTAAAATTCGGGCCAGGCCTGACAAGCCATGGTCAGTAAGAGAGGAGGAGAGAAAGTCAGCGGTTGGAAATCCCAACAGAAACAACACTATAGTTGTACATGGGATTCCAGAATTGCCAAGTGACAGCTCGGTCAAAGATCGGTACTTTCACGACGTCCAACAATGGCAATGGCTCTCAACCAAAGTTGGTCTCAACAGTATACCGGCCAACAGCGTCAGTAGACTGCCAAGGCCAGCGCACCTGAAGACCATACCCAATCCCAGACTACTTGCCGTCCAGTTCGACTCATATGCCTCCCTCACAGACGTTCTGCACGCATGGTATAATGCGAAAGATCGCATGGGTGGCTCAATACGTATATGTGAAAGTAAGCCTAGACCCACAAGGCAAGAGGAGAGACGGCAACCACCAAGACCTCTGGAGTCAGTGGTCGTCACACAGGCGCTGACCAGTGAGTTAGATACATCAAGTAAAGAAGCCACCACTGCTACAGCCCCCACCCAAGTTAAGAACAAAACACAAAAAAACGGAACAATGCCAGTCCTATGAGGACTGGCGAGGCTAAATTCAACCACGTAAGCGCTCATCCCGCGAAAATACACATCCAGACCTCCCCTCTCATCAGGTACACTCTAATATGTATGTACAGCAACGTTAGGGGGCTAATAGGGAAGGTAGCAAAAATGAGGACGCTGCGTGAACATCAGCACTACGACATCATATTCATCACCGAATCCTGGCTCTCATCGGACATCTCCGACGAAGAGATGCGTGTTGCTGGCATGGAACTCTTCCGCAGGGACAGGGAACATAGAGCAGGAGGGGGAGTGGCTATCTACGTAAACTCCTGTTTAAAGGCAAGGATGGTTAGCGATACGGCCTTAACCCAGCTCCCAGAGTCTCTATGGTGCTACTTCACTCTCTTCTTTATTCTCTCTTCATTCCTTTACCACTACCTTACTATTCTCTTCCAGGTACCTACACAGACAGGAGTCATGGCAGTTCTCTAAACTTCCCAGCAACCCGTAGCTCCCTAATCACTCTACAAATTACAACCTACTAACCCACAAAACATCCACCTCACCGAAGCTAAAAGCAAGAAAGCAGAGGGGATTTCCTCGTCCACTGCAGGAGTAAACCGAACAACTGGAACCAAGCCCTAAGAACTAGACGCGAGAGATCAAAAACTACCAGTTTTCTACGCTCGCACTATCAATATTGGATATATTGTATATTGGAAATAATGTTCGTGGTGAAATCACAGTTATTTTACGCAAAATCGACTTTCAGACTTAGATTCCAAGCATTTCAGAGTATAATTATTAGATATGCGGCAATGAGTCGCTTCCGTGAGCATACTGCATTACTGTTTGTTTAAGTTTCCCAACTTACATATCTGTTGTCGCGGAAAATGCGGCTTCTAAGCTCCTTGTCGCGGATTTTCGGAGTTGTAAACAGGTTCGCTAATAGATTACTTATTTATCTTATCCTGCACAGAAAGTCGTCGACAAGAGCTGTGAGAACAGTTGCATTAATACCTGGTGACGGCATAGGTCCAGAAATATCTGCTGCCGTTCAAGAGATTTTCAAATTTGCTGATGTACGTTTTTTTCTCAGCCCGTAAACTTGGTTTTGCGTATCATGTTGCGTTTCCTTTTAGCCAACCTAGCCGTGCATCAGAGGAAGACCACTGAATTATGCGATGAGGCCAGATTTTACTTTAAGTTGCTAATTACTTCACGAGCAAGTTCTGTGCAGCGCTCAGTCATCGATTTAATTTTTGCTGGTTTTATTTTTGCCCTTTCAAACTAATTGTTCCACGAAATGGTGACAAGCGGGCAACTTGTTCGCATGCCGTCTGGAGTTTGGGTACTGTAGAAAACGCTAAGTGAAATTCCGAACTTTAATGGTCACTATGAAATTCATAGCTGTATTGTCCATGACCAGTAAAAGGCACAACGGGTTCAAAATCTCCGAAGTGCACTCTTAGTTTTGGAGCTGAATCTAGTCTCCAACAAGAGCTCGAATTGTCTCGTGGCTGAATATACCAAAACATTACAGTCCTATTTAAAAACTTCCACCCAGCGTACTAGTTCCATAAACAACTGATATGATAAATTAAATCTGCTAAATGTACGTTTCCCTAAATTCAGTTTGCAGCAACAAATAGGGTATGCAAGATCAGAATGCATTTAATCACATTGACTTACTCATTTTTATGTTTCTTTCTAGACGTGGTTTTGAAAAATTATTTCGACAGGCTGTTCATCAGGTTTTGAGTCTGCGTTGCAACCTAAAGTTTCTCCATTATATTGGATTGTACTCTACTAATGCTCGTGACAAATTCATTTAAGTACTTAATTTTTACATAGCTTTTGTGATGTTTTGGTGTTTTACGGGAATTGAAGGTATCTGTCATTGTTTTTGCCGAATTATCTATCATGGTAACTGGCAGATTTCCTTGTTCTTGCTGCATAGCACGTTATTGCAAATTGTGTTGCAGTGTTTCTAAATTAGGTTTTCTGTGCATACTTGTAATAAGGATCTGTATTGTTTTAAATACCAATTTCATTACCTTTTTTGTCTTGATAAACGGATGAAATTCTGGGTCTTCAGTTTAGAAATCAAACCCGTGTGAATTCACGGAAGTCCCAGCAAGTCAAAGTATTGTCATCACCTTAAGATCTTATGACATTTACATTACACTCAATGTACTTAAGGATCGAATCAAGATCTATTCGGTTACCTGATTCTACCCCCAGAATATAAAGCAGAAACATTTGTTATAATCAGTGTTTGCTAAATTTCAAGAACCCTTATCTCTTTACAGAAGGGTTCATAATCTCGTCCGAAATGCACATTAATTCATGAAATTTTTGAAAGTGTATGCATTGTAGCTTAACAACCACGCGTCGGTCCGTGACTGGGTGATAGGCCGTACTTTTTTGAGGAATGATAACTATCTAATCTTCCAGATGTATTTAGACAGGGTGAGGAAAGCCTGCAACATGGTTTTAAAACCAAGTGCTTAGAACAATTAGCCACAACCCTTATGTAGCACAAATACCTATTCAGTTCACCATGCTGATATCAGATTCCTGGATACTTGATAATGGGTATGAAAATAAAGCTTTTGAGACTTTCTTTGTCCTGTTATTCCATTCTCGACACTGTGGCTTGTATTCGTATGTATACATATCATGGTAGTGAATTTTGCCATTCGAAATGTATTAAAAGTGGTTAACATGTATGTATTTCGTTTACTTTAATCTGTAGAGTTGGAAAGCTGTGATCTCAGTGGAAGCAGTGTAAGATTCCATCATATCAAAGGACGAGTACACTGTCCTATTATACGGCTGTAAGATATAGTCTTTGAAATTGGAATACATGAAGCGATTACAAGGTTTTGATTATAGATGTCTTCGTAGTACTGTTTGGATCTGTTGGAATCGCCATATGAGCAATGTTGAGGTCAGGCGAAGGGTGCTAGGTAAGACAGGCTGCCAAGTTGATTGATGAAGTTGTGCACCTTAGTCGACTGAGATGGCTTTGACAAGTGTTTTGCATACCAAGCAGCCACCGCGTACCTCGGCTTCCTATCCGAGAAGAAGCTAGATTAGGCTGCAAGAGAGTTGGGCGGGGGCTAGTGTATGATATTCCTGACTGTTGATCTGAGTTGTGTAGGGAGATGTAGGCTGCCTGATTAAACTCATCGAGATGATAGGTATCACTGACTCAGGATTCCTAGTGACAGCTGAAAATCGGTGACAATAGCATAGATGTATTCACTATTCACATCTAAAGCTTGATTATTTGGACTAACCGTTATTTTTAGGTTGTTTATTTTTTCACACAACTTTGTCTACTTTGATATCAGTCTTTTTTTATCGATTTGTCCTTTCTGTACTACTGTGAAATGTGGAAACTTGAGCTGATGTACCTGTGTGAGGTTCTATTTTGATTTTGTCAGCCAATCAGTCATGAGATTCCATGAATGGTCATTCATTGAGGGTTTTTTCTCCTTTTACTAAGGTAGGTTCCTATTCAGTGGGATACAGTGGATGTGACGCCTCGACCCACAGAAGATGGTCGGTTTCGTATGCCACAAGAATCATTGAATATTATACGCAAACATGGGATTGGATTAAAGGTCCACTAGCTACTCCAATTGGCAAAGGACATCAATCTTTAAATTTAGCACTGAGAAAGTGAGTTTTACTTGTCTTACTGATTTGTGAGTTTCTTAGAAGTCGTTTTCATCTTTGTATGTCATAGCATACAGGAGTGAAGCTTTTAATTTGAGTAACTAATTTCATACTTTCTAATCCTGTTTTACCATTATGGAATGTGGCTGATCGCTTCCAACCAACTATCATTTGTCAAGGGAACATATTTGCGAAAAGTTATGTAACTGGAGGCAAGAATAAAAACAATATGATGAAGACAGTTTGAAATAAAGTGATTATTGTTGTTATTATTATTTGTGTTGCTACTGATGATGGTGAAGAAGATTTTGCGTTATTGGAATACGTGTAATTTTCGTCAAAAAAGGTTTATTAACGTTGTGGTTGTTGATCGAATACCTACGTTTTATATGATACTGCCTATGAGGACTGATCTGTTTACCTGTCCACTTCTAACAGGAGTAAGAGGAATGATTCCACACATAATGTTTTTTATATACGACAACTACTAGGGATTACCAAGCCACTTTTTGCAATGTACTACAAAGTGTGTGGGCTACTTTCATTTCAACTATTTTATAATGACTGCTCACTTCTTTACATGTTCAACTTTCCAATCAAATTCATCTTGGCAGTTTAAACTTGTTAATAGATTATGTTAGACAGATTCCCAGCGAAAATACTCGCCAAATACATTTTATACACATAAATATTCTCTTACAATAAACAAAATATTAATAAAGATGAGGAATTTTAAAGAAAACTGCATTTTTGTTTGCAAACTAAAGTATGATAACGGTTATTCTCTATGGTAAGAGAATAGCCTTTAGATTCAATTTGGCTTTTTAAATAGTGAGACAAGTCTCAGTACATATTTAAAATACTGGTGGTACTCATTTTACCATTAGGTGTATGACCATCGAATATTTTAGTCGTATAATTCCGGAAATTTAACACTGCTGAATACAACCTAAGTTAAAAAGCACTTTAACTTTGAAGTGAGATCCACAGTGTACAGTCCTATTCAACCGCACAGTGCATTCACAAATTTTGACTAAACTGCATTGCCCCTCGCCTCTCTCCTCTCGTCAACATACACTTTGTTGTACGTTGCTAAAGCATACGTCGCCAAAGCATATCCTGTTGGGAAGTCCACATGAAGTTTATTGAGTTGGTTTTCTAAGTAATAGTTTGATTCTCTTGTCAGATCAAGTATATTTACAATATAGACACCAAAGAGTGAACCACAGAAAGTAAAGTAACGATGCTATGAAGACATAAAGTAAGATGTATATACAGCTTAACAGAATGACTATAGAAACAGCTTTCACTGGGGGTATGCCAGTATTACCATTGGTTTCAATTTTGCTCCATATGCAACTGTATATGTGATCAGTGAGTAGCTTTAAGGTATGGCTCATTTGTGTAGACATTGGACTTTAAACCGATGAGTCGTGGGTTCGAACCCCGTTCCGCCTACTGAGGTGTCAGCAGCCGGTAGTGTCACTAACCTTCGGACAGCAAGTGGGGCTCATTTTCTACCGTACTAACTTGTATGTGGTTACTGAGTGCATTTTGGATTTTCCCACTGATTATCTAGATTTCTCGTACTCAACATGGTGATTGACAATGCATCAACAATTGTTAACCAAATAGTTAGCCCTGATCCCGTATCACTGTATCACACACTGAGCCTCTTTGCTTCTTCTAATCACCTTTAGTGTCAAAAATTCATCAATGGTATGGAAGTGTCTGCAAAGACGTGTAGAATGTGTCCGGGTTACTGAAGCTGACATTTCAAGATTTCAAGACGCCACTGGTTGAGTGTTAACTCATTCAGCTCAAACATCAATTGATAAACTTCCAAACTGCTTGTAAAGTGTTACAAGCACTGACACAATTCGAGTAGTTCATCGTGAAGAGTTAACGCAGAAGCAAGTTCTTGTTATTTTCGAAAGATTTTCTGTGCTTTGATGTTGCACAGCATATAGAATACTTGCGAATGGTGACCTCTAACGCTTTCAGTGCAAATTTAGTAGCTTGTACGTCACACAATACAATGATTCAGTTCAGTTACTTATGATCAAGCAATCGTTTTGTAAAGCTGAGTAACTTAGGCTGACGTAGTTTTTCATCTTGGCTTCTAACTATAGGACTTCTCTTTTGATGTTTTAGAACGTTATCATTGTGACTATCTGAGATAGCAACCGTGGTTTGAGATACCAGTACTGACATTGAATGATGATCATTCAATGTGAAATAAAGATTTGGACCGCAACCGAACTCGAACCAGCGGCCACCGGGTTCCAGGCTCGGTGCTGTATGCTAACTGAGCTAAGAGGCCTGACTGCTGATCAAATTTGTTTTCCGCTTCAATCACTAGTATCAGTATTAGTCTGCTAAACCACGGTTGGTATCTCAGATAGTCGAAATGATAATCAACATGATGCTACCCCTCTCATCGTAATTCAGTTAGATTTGGATGAGAAGTTTTGACCAAACAGCCAGTGTGAATACGATCAAGCGGTAGTAGTAACGCATCACGAATTCATACGGTAGTTGGTGATTGAAAGGAAATAAACATATGGTCCATAGTTGAACATCGTAGCTCATTTGGTGTAGAGCACCGATCCGGTAACTTGTTGGTCGTTGATTTTAGAACTTTTCCGATTTGTGAGTATAAATAATTCTTCGTTGTCATTATTTAGTAAATATGATGCAAGAAAGTTACAAACAACCCTATATATTAATAAATAAAGCACTGGTAAAAGGTTGTTCCTAGCAAAAAAAAACTGGGTTTTTAGCTTAATTAGTTATTCCAGGCTGTTCTCTTGTTTAGTTGTTGTATTTTTGGAGCAGTCAGTCATAAAAACCTCATAACTTAAAGTAGAACTTAGTTAGACGTTTTTATGCACTAAGGTGAAAGGCATCCATACTTTGTTAGAACTATCCATACTGCATAACTGTCGAAATCCTACTAATTAGATTTACTTTCAAACTTACTTTCATCCACCGGTTGAAAGTTGATCGACTGGAAAGTCCAATGAATTGGAAGTCGGCGAATTAAAGAGGACTTAACGGATGTCCCACCTTGAGACTTTAGGAATTGTCTTCGTGCGAACTTGACAGACGCAGAAGCCAATCGCTAATTATTCGTACCTGTTATGTACCCACAAATACGAGGCTAAGGAAAAACACAATAGCGTAGTCAGATGGGAATAGTATATTTGAGAGATTGTGATAAAATACCAATGCTTTCTGACTAGCTGGTTAGAGGATCGATTATGAGCAGTGCAACGTAACACGGCAACATGCCAAATGGCGTGGATGCTTGACCATATGCCTTCAGCTTAGTGAGTCCAATAAAACTATGAAGGCCAGCATCAATGTTGAATCTCATCGAACCCTAGGCTATTGATTTTAGAGGAAGTATGTGCCACTACAAGGCATTAGAACGTGAATTTGAGGATTCTACCAGGATGTAGTCTCTTAAATAGAGTATTCCTTTGTTTGTTGCAGGTAGTTGAATTCTTCACGTACTACGGAGACATCTACAAGTTAGACAATGCAAGAACAAACATTGAAGCAATTACTGTCACTTATAATATCTCACACAAATTACAATCGACCATTGACATACTTTAGTTGAGTGAGGTTGATCAGAAAAGGATCATGGCATAGTAAAGTTAAAAGATTGTAGAAATGGACATCAGGTCGAAATGTCATAGATGTATATCTTACTAGAATAAAAGTTGACTTCTTATTGTACAAACGAGCAAGAAGTTCAAAATAGGAGACCAAACCTTGCTGCTGAATATATCGTAGCCAGTCCAGTCCAGTTAGGTGAATTTGCTGATTATGTGCGGAGCGTTCTGGACACCTTGAGTATCAGTTTGAGAATGTTTGGGATACGAATTGTTGCTCTAAGATTGGTCTTCTGTGGTATCTTGTTTAGCAACAGGGAGTAAAGTGGTCGAGTGTGTTAACCTCTGGACTTGTCCGAGAATCCGGACACTTTAAGTTTTGTAACTGAGTATATTCTTCATGCTTTGATGAACAGCCTGTTTATCAATCCTCGTTTACTGGATAGAAACTATTGAAAGAAAGGGAGAGACCATTCTATGTACCTTTATGATAAATAAATTTTTGGAATGTACTATCTGTTAAACATTAAATAATGACATCCAAAAAGCTGAGTTCATCTTTGTTTCACCTACATTCCTTGCGGATATCACCACGTTTTCTGACATATATATGTCCGACCGCGGTCCAAATTGCAAGCGAGATGCTTTATTTTGTCACTGTTACAAACCATTGTTATAGCTACAATACTGGAATTCATTTAGGTTTACAAACTGTCAACACTTGTAAGCAAGACATATCTTCAACTGCAGCCTATAAGGAGGCAGCATAGTTTTTCTCCTCTAAGTTTGCAGATGAATTACCAGAGAGTACTAGTAACCAATAAACCAGTAATAGGGATTGTTTACTTATTAATTCTAAGTATTCTGGACAAAATTGCGATAAAGTGTATTTTATTAGGTTAGTTGATTTCGTATTCCGGCTACTAATCAAAGGACGATGATACTACGCTGCAGTTCATTCTGTTCTTTTATACGACTTTAAGACGTGGCCTTTGAAAGTGACTATAGGTTTCTTCGTTAGCATCGTTTGCGTATGGTGGGGCTACCATGTGGGGAGTGTGGAATTCAGGTGAACAGTTCTAGACAAAGGCAAGTCAGTGGAGGTGAGGTTGTGAACTTGTAGCGTTTGAGGCGACTTGGATGTGGGTTGCGCATACCGAGACACTACCATCACGTACTTCACTGTGCCATGCTAGCAGAAGTTGTATTGGGTAGGTAGAAAGCTCAGGGCTCAGAACCGATGTCAGTGGTGCAGATGTATACACACCTTATCCTCATCTTAACGACGCTATACCGGATCTCATCGTTTTCGCATTCTTCCTTTCTCTTTTTTAGTACTTTATATTTATTTTGACTGAATTTTCTTATCTTCATCTTACACTTCACTGCCTTTTTACTTGATGTACTGATATGAGGTGTGGCAATTTGGACCGTTACTCAGTAATGCCTGGTCCTATGTGGATATTGATGATGATGAAGCTCAGGTTGGTGAGATTAAGATGTAGCATCTGCTTATGAAGTCTCTGATTGTTGGTCTAAGTCGTCTAGGGAGGTGTAGACCACCTGGATGGGAGTCCTCGAGATGGTAGTAATCAGTAGTTGAGGACTGTTGGTGACATGGCACAGATGTATTAACTTCTTGACATCTTTTAAAACTTGAATATTTTGACTAATCTTACATAGCACCATTTGATGTCTATTAAGGCAGCTGTGTTTTACTCTTCTTACTTTTTTGCCTACAGAGAGTTCAATCTTTATGCCAACGTTCGACCGTGTAAATCTATTGAAGGCTATGAAACTCCGTATAAGAATGTGGATCTAGTCACAGTAAGAGAGAATACTGAAGGTGAATATTCGGGTATTGAACATGTGGTAAGTTCATATCATCTGCATATACTTATAAGTATATTTGTGCTGCTAAATGACATCACATTTTTTCTATAGTCAATCATTAGACTAAAGATTTGTAAATGAGATGCAACTAAATAACTTCTCTGTGTTTGTTATCAAGTTATACGGAATTAAGTGTATCAGATAGCGTGATTGGCAACGTTAATACCATCCACCATTATCTAATATAGGATTACACCAAGCCTACTATGCTGAAAGCACTAGAGAGGATAACTATATGACCTACCAGCAAATAATTGTGAGTGAATATGTAGCTCACTAGTCTATATACTAGATTTCCAACCAATAGGTAACGCATCTGAACCTCTTTATGCTTACTAAAGTTTATGTAGCGTTGATTTTCGAGAGTTAAATAGCATAACGCAACTGAAGCTGTGTGACATGCCGACGGTAGCTGAAACACTGGATCGTTTGCAGAATGCAAAAGTATTTACAATTCTGGATCTCTGCTCAGGCTACTGGCAGCTACCAATAAAAGAAAGCGATAATGAGTGAAACAGAATTTATTGTTAGCAAGAAGCAATACCAATTCAAGAGAATGCCATTTGGTCTTGCAGCGCGCCATTGATGATGTTACTGAAGAATCTGGAGGACGTGGAGGTGTATGATGATGACCTGCTACTGTGCAGTCGGACGGAAGCAGAGCATCCAAAACACCTGGAAGCTGTTTTAAGACGCATTGACGACTTTGGACTTCGCATCAATAAGACAAAATCTCAGTTTGCCAAGAAAATGGTGAAATGAAATCACTACCTCAGAAAATTCTGACGGTTAGGACTATTCCAGTGCCTAATTCTAAGAAGAAACTGCGACAGTTCTTGGGTAGAGCAGCATTCTACAGTCGGTTCTTCAAAATTTCAATGAGACAATGGCGCCTAAATATAAGCGACTTGGTAACCCCGAATTTACGTGGACAGAGGAGGCACACAAAACGTTTGATCACATCAAGGGACTGCTAAATGACCAGGAGATGGCTTTAAAATTACCAATACACGAGAGGCCATTCTTTGTGTCCACCGATGCAAGTGATTATGAAATAGGCTCAGTTCTGAGACATTGAAGGAGTAGTGGAGTATGCCAGCCGTGTCCTAACACCCGCAGAATAGAAATATTCTCCAGTGGAAAAGGAATGTCTGACGATAGTTTGGGCGCTTGAGAAATGGAGATCGTACCTCATCGGTCATCGATTCCATATTGAAACTGACCACAAACCTCTACAGTGGCTTAAGACAGAGAGAGACCGTAGAGGAAAATTATTACGTTGGATGTTACGACTGCAAGAGTACGATTTCACAATCGGCCATGTGGCAGGGAAAGAAAGCTGGTTGGCACACTTCCTATCAAGAGCAGACGAAGAAAATGAACCACGTGAGATCGCATACGGTGTACATGCAGTGGGACGGGATCCATTAAGACTTATTCACCTTCAGAAATCGGACCATACACCTAAAAAAGTGATAAAAGCCATAACTGAAGGTATGGAGACAAACAAGTCGGTGGGAAATAACGAGTTGAAAATGTTGTTGATACAAAAAGAACGCCTACATGTGAATACTTATGGAATGCTGACTTGGCGAGAAAATGATGGGAGCTGGTTGGCAGTGATTCCAAAATGTCTACGCAACAAAATGACACAAGAATGCCACCAGTTAGGTCATACAGGTGTCTCAGGGACAGCTGACCTTCTCAGACAAAGTGCATACTGGCCAGGTATGAGAGAGGATGTTGCCAAACACATGCTGGGATGTCCTTATTGTCAACTGATGAGAGATGATAGGTATGTATGACCGCCACTTCAGTCGATTTCAATAGCAACAGTTGGTGACCTGTGGTCTGTGGACGTCGGGGGACCGTTTCCGCAGACAGTGACTACTTCCTTAATCTCAGATGAACGTAGAGTTGTTGAGAAGAGATTGACTAGCCCCATTTTATTCTATCGATGTTTGATGATGTTTTATTTGTAATTGGATTACTTTCCGAAGGATATTTTGCTTCCATTAATTTGTGGAACGTTTTGATTTGAGTGATTCTGGATTTCTTGAAAGCAACTGATCTTGCTTTATCTGATGTTTGTATAAGAAATTCATTCTCTCTGTTGTCTACTGTCTTCTGTTGTTTCATTTTATTACGGATAATACTTAACTTTGTAATAATCTTGTGAATTTTTTGTGAATAATTTGATTTTTCAAACAACGAATATTGAAAATAGGATGGTTTGTAAAACCTGCTTCAAATTGTGAAAGTCATAATCACATAGAAGAACAACTCTATCATTGAGTATTTGGTGAATTCAGGACACCTGTTTGCACTTGAATTTTCATTGAAGATCGTTTGAGAAGTCTGACCACATTGTTCTATTGAACCATTAGTGATCCACGAGTTTAACCCCACATGCTATGCGTTCGGAAGAGATATAAACAGTCAATATCTCTGCTGCAGCCTTAAAAATGTCATGTCGCAATTTTTACTTGCTCTCTCTCTCTCTCTCTCTCTCTCTCTAGTAGCACCCTTCCTTGGTTTATTTTTCATGTTTCACTCTCCACCTGGTCGATAGCTCCTGCTCTGACGTGGTGGTCGGGCTTGCTTATCACAGTGACCCAACAAGATACACTGGTTAGAACGCTTGTTCCTTCGAGTTCTTACCATGCTAGAAAGGTCTGTTGGATAGTGATAAGACGAAAAGCACTTACTGTTGTAGTGTAGGGCATCTGGAGATGAAGTCATACTGCTGATTGGCTGAGGTTTGGCAACAGTAAGATGTTTCCCACGCTAATGCCGCCTTCCCAATGGGAAAAGGAGGGTATGTAAGGAATTTTGAGGTCAGGCGAAGAGTACTAGGCAAGACAGGTAAATGTATGGCGAGAATTAATAGAGGTGTAAAACTTGGGCACTGTGGTAGAATTTAATTCCATATTCGATTTGTTTATTTGATTGATAACACACAGTGATACAGTGTTATTATTTACTTCATGACGTTTTGAGCATAAACGGATATATAGTCCTGTCACCCACTTCGTATTCTTTGTTTCTATTGGTAGTAAAATCTTCCTTATCTCTGGTATGCATGCATGGCTGTTGCATCATTTCTATTACATGTATTGGGTGGGTGTTGGTTCATGAAAAAACACTTAGTAATCAATCTCTCTCCACCTAATTATGATGAAGTGGATTGAGTAAAGTGGTTTTATCCCACCCACCCTATCGTGTGTGTGGTTGTGTATGTTAATGCATGCATTGCAATAGCCGAGTTACTTCATACATTATTGATCTTACTCGGGTCTCATTCTATATTTAGCTAAATTCCTATCTTCCTCTATTCTAACTGACCCTGACCGGCTAGTGTGACCTATGTATAATAGACCTCACAGTCATTACATAGAATTTGATAGATTAGATTATGTTGTCTAATTGGGTCTATCGGATACTTAATTCAGCTGACAAAGCTTATCTGTGAGTGAGTTTGTAGGTTTAAATGTCACCATAACTAATTCCAGCTTTATTGAGGATCCTACATAAAGTTTCTGATATACCTTCTTCATAAGGTGACACAATGAGGTTGTGAACTCCTTTCTACTTGTGTTTTGTTATCATTTGTACTGGTGTTACTGATACTACTTTGTTTTGTTGTGTGTTCGTACGAAATTCTTAATAGACTGTGGAGGATAATTATTATCTACTAGTGCTTCTTTTTACGTGTTTCAGTTCATTGTTTAGATACCTGGACTGACTAGTCAGTTTTCTAGCTTCATCATTTAGACAGTTGACTAAACCCGCCCTAAGTGGCTTTGGATGACTTCAGGTCATCTCATCTAATGTCAGCTAAAAATTTATGCTCGAAACGTCATCCAGTAAGTAGTATACTGTATCACTGTGTTATAAATCAAATAAACATATCCAATATGGAATGAAATCCTACCACAGTGCCCAAATTGTACATCTTATATTACTTACTGATTGATGTCTCAAGCGAAATTCATTGTTCATTGCGCCTTTCATCTTATTTGGGGCTCGAACCGGGAACCGACCGCTTCCAATGCACCATATTGTTATCCACTAGACCATGGAGTCACGATAGCCACTTCTTGTGCGATGAGTATAGTTTCAATATTGTTACTTGATATTAATCAGAAAACTGAAGGAGATTGGTAACCCAATTAGCTCAAATTTAGGTCGTAATGAAACTGTACCAGTGATGATTGGCAACCATTGTGTAAAACTTATCTCTTGCGTTTGTGTATACATGCGTACGTAAAAATCCATTCGTGTATGCCAAAGCCTGCTTTATATATGGATGCCTTCCTCATTTATATCGAAAAATGCTTTACTAGAACCCCATGGTCATTACTGTCCAAAGTCGTCATAATATTCCTATAAATTACTTACACGTAATTTGATACACCTGAATCGTTCATGTCACAACGTAATGCGTAATACTAGGACGCAGAGAATAAATACTAATTATTAACTGATAGAACTTATCTTGTTCTTCTACGCTGTGGTTAGAACTTATCACTGGAGACTTATTTGTCAAAATCCTACGCTGGTGTATACTCTGTGTACTGCAGTGTATACTTCGGTTTCTTTTTAGATATCTACCGCTATACTGCAGTAAAAAATAGACAGAAAATTAGCGTAGAACATCACATACAATTACATCAGTTCAAGTTGCCACAGTAGTATGCAAAGAACAGGTGGATAGAAAGAGAGTGATATCAAAGTAGACAAAGTTGTATGAGACGATAAAAAAACCTGAAGAAAACAGTTAGTGCGAATATTCAAGATGTTAAGCAATGGTTAAATCTGCACTATTGTCACCGATTTTCAGTTCTGTCATCTCTCGAATCTTACCCAGCTAGTCTACATATCGCCACATCACTCAGAACAATCAGGGACTTCATGAACTGATATCACGTCCAAGTTTGGGTATTCTGAACCTGTTTCTAACCTAATCCAACTTCCCC